TAGGCCGAACGACGGGGCCAGCTGGGCGAGGGGGAGTGCGCCTCGGCAGTGTCGGCTCTTTTGAACTTCGACCGTGTTCCGCGGGGTCGCATCGGCAACTTCCTGGCCAGGTTCGACATCCTTCGCGGCTGGGCGCAGCGAGCTCGCCCGCTCTTGATCGGCTACGAAGGGCTCAGCTTCCTCATGCTGCGCGCCGTTGGCGCGTCGAACATCAACTCGCCGCGCTCCTGCAGCGCTATGGCATGGCCTGACCGCGCGAGCGCTGAGCAGCTCGCCCGTGTGACGGGCCAGCTGAGACGCTTTCGGCGCGTGATAGAGCAATCGCAAGGCAACCTCGCCTCGGCGGCCCACTCTGCCAATCGGCGCGCGTTCCTCACGGGCGCGCCCGCGCAGGGGCCGAGCTGGGGCGGCGTGGGCCCCGCGGCGCAGGGATCGGTGCGAAGCCCCCCCATGCGCCGGCCGGGGCCGCGTCTGGATGCTGCGCCTCTAACGCGGCGCCGCCGGCGCAGGGTGCGCGCCTGGCAGCGGAGATCGACTCGGGCGCCGACGCCGACGCCGCCGGCTAATTCGGCGAGGAGATGGCCGCCGACGACCCGCGAGCTGCGCGACATTCCAGGGGGCAACGCGGGAGTTGCGCACGGCTACGCCCCCGGCGGTGGCGCGCCGCAGCGTGAGGAGGAGATGGCGCGAGCCCCGCGAGCAGCCAGCATGCCGCGAGACGCCTTCGCTTGCGCCCGCGCGGCGGTGAAACATTGTAGAGAATCTCGCAAGTGACTGCCGCTAATTCAACCTGCGCGTCGACTGCGACGCCCTGCTCTACGAGGATCGCATGGGCACCCGCCTGATCTGTTGCGCCTCGCGGCGGCGCGGTGGTCAGGGGGTCGCGCCCAAGCGCGGCGTCGGCGCTGCTTGCCGCCGTCGACCGCTCATGGGCTCAGCTGTTCGGCTCGATGGAGACTTTGATCGTGGGCGGCGCGGGCGGGGTGGCCTCGGCGCACTTCGTGGAGGAGATGAAAGGGGGGGTGCGGGCTGCCGCGCGCGCCCCGCGCCGTCGCGCCCGTTTCGTCGAGCTTGCCGCGCGCGCCCCGCGCAGTCGCGCTGGTTTCGTCGAGCAGCGCGGGGCCGCGTTGCGACGGGAACTTCTCGCCGCGGGGGATCATTTGGAGCGCGAAGGCGTCGCGCCGAGCGCGGGCTGCGGCCTCGCCCGCGCGGGCGGCGTCGCGCCGTGCGACGCCGCCGGCGGGCGGCGGCCGCCCGCGCTGCCGCCGTTCGAAGCGGGCGAGCGAGTTGAGGCATCCAGCTACTGCGTCGCCAGTGCCGGGCCCACTGTTGGTAGGGGGGCGCAGTCCGGCCGACTGCGGATATTCATCCGAGAGCCTGTTCAACGCGCGATCGAGCCGCGTCGATCGCGCGCGCCAGCCGTGCCATTCAAGGCCCGCGCCGCCGAGTCCGGGGCGGGCCGTTTTAATGCGGGCGACCAGGTGGGGGCCCGCGGGCGCCCAAGCGCCGGCGTGTCGGGCCGGGCGGGCTCTGGGGCAGTCGCGTCTGCAGGCCCCGCTTGCGGCGGGGTAGCGGCCGAGTTCCGCCGCGCTGAGGTGCTCTGCAGACGGCGAGGCGCCCGGGCCTTCGTCGGCGCCGTCTTTGACGAGATTGGCACGGGCGTGGCGCGAGCAGGCTTGGCCCTGGACCGCGCGGCGGACGACGTGGAGCGCGTGGCGCCAGGTTCCGCGGCCAGGCTCTGCGGCCACCGTGAGGGCGCCAAGGTTGCGCAGCTCGCTGAGCAGGCGCGACGGCGCCCAGGCGCCCTAAGGCCTGCGACATCTTGCCCGCGGATGATCCCAATCGCCCGACGTTCGCGCTGCGCGACTCATGCGCGGACAGGAAGTTGTGGCCCCAGACGCGTTTTCGAGTGGAAGCCTTGGGGCGGTTAGACAGCAAGGCTGCCTGGATCATCATCGGGCGCAGCGCGGCGCCGAGGGGCGCTTCCGCGACGTGGGCGCTGGGGCCCCGGAGGCGTTCGAGCGGGCGTCCCGGCGCCCGCTATCCTCGAGGGCTGCGCGTCGCCCAGGCCGGGCGCGCGTCGCCGTCGACGCGGAGGAGGCGTTGTCGCGGGGCGAAGCACCCCGAGAGGTGTGCTTCTCCCTGTCGCCCGGCAGTGCAGCCATCTTCAGGCTGGCGCCCCGCTGCGAGAGCTGCGACGAGGACCGCGTGCCTGCGCTGCATCGAGTTGGGCGCGGTCAGCAAGGATTCGCCCCGAGTTTTCTCCGCGACGCTCGCCCAGGTCGCGCGCTCGCCCGAGCGCGGCGCCAAACCGACCAGGTGGGGTCCAGGGGCTGCAGATCGGGCGCGTGACGTTCGGCGGCTGCGCTGCCGGCGTCTGGTGCTCATGTCGTGCAGATCGGGCGCGTCGACTGGCTGATCAGCCGCGTCGAGAGCGTCTCTGGCATGGTGAAGGGTGGCCGCGACGATGTCGCCAGTGGCGGAGTGCACTGGCACCGCGGCGCCGATGGCACGGGGGCGCTCGACAATGGCGAGCAGCGACGTCGACGCTCTGTTGCCGATGAGACGCGTCGACCAGGAGACGCCGGCTGGATGTCTGTTTCCCGATCTTTGTCTCCCTCCATGGAGCGGCGGCCTGCGCCGTGCTCGCCCGGCGCCGCGTCGCAGCGTTCATCGTCGCCCTGCAGAGAGCCAGGGATGAGCTGCTCATCCGACGCGCGATGCGACTCAACTCCGTTGTTATGGCCGCGCGGGAGATCCAGGCGCGAATCGTATTTCCATCCAAGGAGCGCGCCGGGTGACTCAGCGCGCGCAGCGGCGGGTCTTTCGAGAGGGGGGGGCAGTCGGGGTGCGGCGTGAGAGGAGCCACATGCATGTGCCTCGGCAAGTGCCGCTGCGCCAGCAAGTGGGGGTGCGACATTCTGGGCGCCGCGAGCCGTTCGCGCGAGCTCGCGTGCAGATCCTCATTGGGCTCCGAGTTGCGCGCGGCGCGCGGCGCGGCAGGTGGTCTGCGGGCGCGCCCCCTCGCGCTGCGCGGGGCTGCGCGGCCCCGCCTCTGCCGAGGAGATTGGGGGGCTGAGGGGGGGGGGTGGTTGCGCGTCCTTGCAGACCTCGTCGCAAGGGGCGCGTCTGTCTTCCGCGCTCTGCTCGCGTGCCCGGCCCAGCCGCCGCCCGAGTTGCGCGGCTGGTCGCCCGCGGTGGTAGGCCGACCAGCTGCGCGCCAAACAGATCGACGACTGGCGCTTGTGCGACAGTCGGGGCCCGCGGGCCGCCCCCGTGGCCGGGGGCGGCGCGGGCCGAGATCTCGTCCTCAGCGCGTTGGGCGGCCAGATCAGCTACGACCGCGCCGCGGTCGAGTTCAGCGATGGGAAGCTGAAGAAGGCCGCCCCGAGCTTGCAGCATTGCTCACACACGCGGAAGTAAGGGAATGACTCTGGTGACTGTGTCGCGGGGCCACGCGAAGCCGGAACACGGATGCATTTCCAATGGTTGCATTGGCCCGCCAGCGAGGGGATTCGCGCTCCAACGAGCGCGGGCATCCACGTGCGAGAGTGACGAGTCGAACGCTCGAGTGAGTGGGCTTGCTCCGACTGCGCCCGCGCAAGCAAGTGGCGGTTGCTTTTGGCGGGCTTGCTCGGGCTGTGCCTGGGCAGCTCGTATATATATACACATATACATACATTCATAATACATATATATATACAGATAACAGACCAATCACATATGCATATTACTCTGTTGTTTGGCCTTCTGTTTTTTTTTCAATGTTTTTTTTTGTTCGGGCGAGGGGAAAGGTCTACGGGGAACAAATCTGGCGTCGCCCGAGGCGTCGTCGATTGGAGACCCGGGGCTGATTCTCGACCCCAGACCCCTTCGCGATGTAAAACAAACGCGTCAAAAAGGGTTTTCGCTATCTTCGGCTTCGGGGGGCCTTCGCCAGGCTCCAGGACCGTCAGAGACGATTCAGGGTGAAGGAGCGGCCCCAGGGGATGGGTCGAGACCTCTGGGGGCCGAAGCTGTGAACAAAATCGTGGCCGCGGGGGTCCGGGACCCAGGAGTGGTACGTCCTGACGTGTCGTGTCGACTTGGCAGCGATCCCGCTGGGTTTTGTTTTTTCGAAGGTCGATCGCCGTCAGTGGCCCAGATAATCCACCCATGCCGAACGGTCGGGCGAGCAAAAAAACGCCGACCATTCAAGGTTGAACGATCCACGCGGTGTCAGAAACCAACGCCAGGGTCCCACGACACGAACCTGCCGCATTGTGTAGTTTTGCGGTCCCCAGGGTCGAAAGAAATCTGTGCGCCGTGCCGCGTTGGAGCGGGGCCCGAATGGAACCCAAACGTGGTACGCTAGGTTCATGCGGCGTTGGCGCGCCGGCGTGCAAAGTGGAAACGCCAATGGACATGGCCACGGGGCCGCGATCGGTTCAAGGTTGAATGCGGCGGGGGTTTTCAGACCCCCGCGCCGAATCGGAAAAAGGTTTCTGTGCCTCCGTGGAAAGTTCAGAGAGATTATTCAGGAAACCAGGGGGTTCCGAGTCTTTCGAGGAGGCCCGCCCCGTCTCCTTTCCCTCCCTTGGCTCGCCGCCAGCTCTCTCCGAGACGGCCCGGGGCCCCCCGCGGCGCCCATCTCCCTGAAAAAAAAGGGGCCCGCTGTGCTGGAGGGGCCCAGGGGCACACAAGTGCACAGACACAGCTCTAAGGAACCCCCATGCTTTTCCGTATGTTATTCGGAGCGCGAATTACCTACCCCGCTTTCGCTTCCAGGCAAAACCAAGTCATACCACGCGCCTCTCTCGTCAGGCGGCCTGACCAGTACAGGCCGTAGTTTGGCATCGCTTGGTACCTCTTGGAAGCGAGGGTGGTCCAAAGCGAGGTAGGTTTGTTTTCCCCCTGGTTATGGATCCTCCGTGGCGCGCCGCCAAAAAAAAAACCTTGGCGCGCCCCCGCGCCGCGCGAGCTTGCCGCACGGCGCGCGCGGGCGCCGTGCCCGCGCCGAGGCCCGGGCGCTGCTCCTCGGCGCGGCTGGCGCCGAGGCCGGGGCCGCGGGGGCCGCCGGGGCGGGGGCCGCGGCGGGCGGCGCGGGGGCGCGGTTGGAGGAGGCGGCGTTGTCCCCGGCGCCGCCGGCCGCGCCCGAGGAGTCGGGTCTTGGCTTAAGCTGCGATTCTTCCCCATTAAGCAGTTTCACAAATATAAGAAGCATATTTTATTACTATATGTATGTACGAATGTAGTGGTTTATGTATTTAGTTGTTTATGTGTATATATACACATGTATATACACATATATATATGTATACACGCATATAAACATACACATATGTATGTATGTATGTATGTATGTATGTATGTATGTATGTATGTATGTATGTATGTATGTATGTATGTATGTATGTATGTTTGCATGCATGTATGTATGTATGTATGCATGTATGTATATATATATATATAGGTGTGTGTGTAAAGAACAACAATAAAGGTTTCACATATTTTCATTTTTCGCCCAAAGCCCTCCTGTAGGGGTACACGCCCGACCCAGATCTAGGCCTCCTGGATGGGGTCCGAGCAGACGGGGTCGGAGAATCGCGCCGCATCGCCGATGCATCGGCGAGGCGGCTCGATGTGGGGCCCGCTTTTCTTCACGCCGATGGCGCCGATGCATCGCCGACGTCGCCAGTGCATCGCCAATGCATCGCCGATGCATCGGCGATGCATCGCCGATGTATCGGCGATGCGGTGAGATCCCCTGGCCCCATCTACTCGGACCCCTATCCGAGGAGGTGGAGTCAGACTTTCCTTGAGGGCTAGAAAACAACACCAGGACCTCGACATCTAAAATCCGTTCGAGGTTTCGTGAGCAGTCTCGATAGGTCTATAGGTCTGGATGGCTATTTGTCAGCACTGGAAGGTCAGGGAAACCAGGGGCAACGATAGGGGGGGATAGTCAGAGTCACCACCTACCAAACCACCCCAACCGAACTCGAAGGTCCTAATTTGGCCTCCATTCCCAGAGGGGGGGGGTCGGGGAACATGGAACAAAACACATGTGGAACCCGTCCCCTCCCCAGTCCGAAGTTTGGGTATTCGGGTTGGGTTGGGGTTCTCTGGTAGGACATCATAGAGCCCCGAATCATCAGAGCTGGGGGCAGTCAGGGGTAACTACAGATTCGCGCCTCGGGGGCCCACACCGGAGCTACTTCGGACCGCAGGTATCCCCGATAATTCGGGCGTTCAACCCTCCCGAATCATTAGGGCTGGCTGCAGTCAGGGGTAACTACAGATTCGCGCCTCGGGGGCCAAACCGAAGTTCGCCCCAGACCGCAGTTATCCCGGATAATTCGGGCGCTCAAGATAGGCATAGGGGGGAATGCATCGACCCCCAATCGCCCATTGATCGCCGACAGGGGCCCGATAGTCCCAACATGCCCAGGAACGTGGAGATTCGCTACCGGGGACCTATTGCCGATCTATCGGCGATGTATCGCCGATTCTAACCTGAGGAAGTCTTTAGTTTTGCTCTCCCCCCCCCCCCCTGGAGCTCTCGGTGGTGAATAAACTCGTCCCGAAACTCGTCCGCTCCCGAAACCTCTCCTCCTCCTCAAAGTACAGCTCTCGCCTTAGCGCCGCGCACATTCGTCTTAAAAGCTTGCAACAGTTTCAAGGATGGAGGGCTCGTGTTGTTCAAAGTGCAGATCTTGCCTCATGTGTCGCTGCCGTAGTCGCAATCGCACACGTACTCGTTATCGTCTTCGTCTTCGTCTTCGTCGTCGGACCGCCCGAACTATAACAATTTTCCGCTATTGTCTGGCGGGGTCGTTTTTCCGAGTTGTCAATACATTCGCCCGAATGATATTTTTTTCCATCTACTGGCCAGGGGATTTCTGATGACTTCTGTGGGTTAGGTCGATGTGTGCCCCCCTATGCCGGTCCCTCCCTCTCGTTGCCTCTCAGGATAGGGCGACGAAATCTATACATATCCACTGCTCCTGGCCAGGCCAATCCTGGGCCCAAGAGCTGTGTATACGCCCTCCTGGCTTGGCCAGGGAGGCATATACACCGCTCCTGGGCCCAGGATGGGCCTGGCCAGGAGCAGTGGATATGTATAGATCTCGCCGCCCTATCAGGAGGAGGTAAAGTCGCTGTTGGGGAAACGGGTCCTGAGGGAAACGGGTCCTGGTGCTTTTTCGCCGTGTTCGGGCCTTCGGGGTCCGCCACGGGCCCCCGGCGTGTGAGAAAGCGACTCGGGGTGAAGAACATGCTTCAGGAGGGGAAAAAACACACACAGACACAATTAATCGTCGATTCCCAGAAAATATGGGAAAATATGGGAAGTGGGGGGGAAGACAGAAACCCAGAAAATATGGGAAAGTGTGGGGAAACATTTTATTTGTGTGTATTTATTTGTGTGTCCCAGGGCCCCTTCAGTGTGAGAAAGCGACTCGGGGTGAAGAACATGCTCCTGGAGGAAAGCCCCGGGTTCCAGGACCCGTTTCCCTCGGGACCCCTTTCCCCCCATGCCAAGGTGAAGGCCTGAAGCCATCCGTGGCCGTCTTGGGTGCACCTTGGGCCGTCTGGAGTCCATCTTGGGGCCATCTCTCTTGGGGCCGTCTTGGTAATCTTGGAGGCGTCTTGGAGGCATCTTGGAGGCCATCTTGGGCCATCTTGGCCGCCTTAGAGGCGATCTGGGCAACGGGCTACGAAATTTGGGAGCCTCTCTCGGCGGCCGGCGCAATATGCCGAAGCCCCAGAGGTCTCTCGGAAAAGAGTATAAACCAAAGACGTCAAGGTGTAGCACGCCAGGCGGCCATGTGGCAGAGCTTGCCACGATCGTGCAAGTTCTCGTGTGGCCTTCGGCCCAACGCGCTGCCTTGCCTGGGCTGTGGGTCAGGAGCATCCTGGGTGAATCTAAAGGGTCTCCTGGGATGCCTCGCCGTGGCCTCTGAGAGGGCTCTCGGGGTGCATCCAGGAGGCTCGGACAGTTTACGTTCCCTACTGCGAAGGTCTGACGGCCGGCGCCGCCGACCCTGAAGGGAGACGACGACGACGACCACGACGATGACGACGACGACGACGACGACGACGACGACGACGACGACGACGACGACGACGACGACGGCATCCCCGCAGGAGGCCCCCGCGCTCGCGGAGCTGCGGCGGCGGTGCCTCTCGCCGGACTTGGGTGACGGCGGCCGGCCCTGCGTCGACTGCTGCAACGACGGGCGGGGCAAGAGCCCCTGCCTGGACGTGGGCGCCTGCGCGGCGGCGGCGCAGCCCGGCGGCAGGTGCTTCAGAGCAGGGATGACATTCGAAGAAGGCAAAACGCCATACACATAATTTTTCGGCGCTCCTCGCGGGTTTCTTGGATCTGCGCTGGGCCCCACTGGCGGCGCACCTGGTGCCGCCCCTGGCGCGCCCCGCGCGCCAGGGCGGGGGGTCCAGCGCAGATCCAAGAAATCCGCGCGGAGCGCCGAAAGTTTACAGTCGGGGCCCTGAAGAAGGAACCCTTTTGGTTGGGGAGGGGCTCCGTCCTTACGTGTTTCACAGCTTGCCTCAGGTTTTCCTTATGTTTTCGATCGGAGATCGAAGTTTGACTTTTGGAAAAAAGAGCATCGTTTCTTATTTCGGGTTGCTTAGGTCAACGCCCCGACTGTATGATTATAACGTTTTTCTTCTTCCAGACAATTCTACGCCTTAGGCGATGCTCAAGAAAACCCAAGTGTTCGGCCAGAGTCTCGATTATTCTTAATGTTCCAATGTAAATCCTAAGATTTTGAGTAGACATTCTGGGTTTTTATTCAAGTTCTGAGACTATGAATTTCTTAACCCATGATTTCTTAAGCATTTCGCAGGGTGTACGCCAGGTTCGCGTCGTGTCGGCCTGCGGCGAACCCGCCGCTGGCGTTCAAGGGGGAGCGCCGCTGGCGACCCAGCACTGGTCGATGTTGACGGTCCCGGGGTTCGGACACGACCAAGCTTTGAGGGTGGAGCGATCCCTCGGGGGCGGAAAAGAGGGGGGTGATGACTAGGGGGGGGGTGGATTTCATGGCGCGGGCCATGATTTTTCCTCAGATTTCATGGCGCCCCTTCTTGTTTCATTACGTCCCTGGTCCCCCCGCTGGGCCGCGCACATGACGCCGGTCATGATGTGCACCCCCCCCTCGTGGACACCCCCCTCTTGGCCGCTCCCGAGATCCCCGCGGTGTCAGGAGCTTTGTGGGCCCCGGAAAAGGCAGGGCCGTTTTTTCACCGTTTCCAAAAGATGTCCCTTGAAAACGGAAACGGCAAAAAAAACGGCGACTGGAAACGGCAAAAAAACGGCTCCAGGATTGAAGCCGGAGCCGGAACCGGTCAGAAAACGGCGACGGAACCGGTCAAAAAATGGCGTCGGAATCGGCAACCAAACGGCAAAACGGAACCGGTAAAAAACGGCCCTGTCGTTTCCAGGGCCCACTAAGGTCAGGAGCCGGCGCCGGGGTCGACACGACGCGAACCTGCCGTAGGCCTCCCAGATGTGGTCGGAGTAGATGGGGTCGGATGATCGCGCCGCATCGCTGATGCGTCGCCGAAGCGGCTCGATGTGGAGCTCGACTTTTTCCACGCTGGCGGCGCCGATGCATCGCCGATGCATCGGTGATGTGGTGCGATCCTCCGACCCCATCCACTCGGACACCACTTAGGAGGCCTCGAACAAACTACTCACGACTTACCGTCAAGACGCTGAAATACGGACCGCTTTGGGCTCAGGAGGGCTCGAGTTTTCGGGCCCATGCTTTTGATTTAAGTAGTGAAGCCTGTGTGTGCCCTAGGCCCCGCGTGGCCAGAAAACATTTGTCGTTTTTCATTATGCGCTCATTATGGTAGCATGATGACTGCACCACGTCACCCCCGTCCGCCCCGAATGCGCCGACCTGACAAAACTGCTCGGACCCTTGAGTTGTCATGTTTAGGTCATTGTTTGTTCCCCTATAGAGGACCCCAAAGTTCGGGTTGGGGGTGTGCGGGCATCCAGAGTGGCCTTCCCTCGTCGCCACGGCCGGATTCGCGTCGAAATTCTAGCCAGAGCGCACCCCTGAAGAGGTCCGGGGAGTAGCGGTCTGTAGGTACCTGTTTGCCCCCCCAGGTACGGCTTGGTGTACGCGCAAGTCGGCAGGCCTGGCTGGCCCTGGCTCACGAACATTGGCAGCCTGTCGAAGGCCGGGGCCAAGGTGGCCATGGAGCTGGGGGTCAGGGTGGACCTCGTGCTCATCATTCCCTCCTGGGACGCCAGGGGGCTCAGTCCCGAGCACAGGGCCCACCTCGAGGCCTGGGAGGTGCAGGTCAAAGAGGTGGAGTGGACGCTCCCCCCGAGGCTGAAGTGGCACCCGAGGAACTGGTGGCCGGGCAAGCCAGACGGCTGGTGCGGCCCGCAGGATTTGGTGCGGCTCCACGCGCTGGGCCTCGAGGGCTACGACGCCGTCGCCTTCTACGACCAGGACGTGGAGATCCAGGGGGACCTGGGCCCTGTGCTTCTCTGCGCCTCCACGGGGAAGTTCCTGAGCACCAGCGGCGGGGCGGGCGAGCCGCTGAACGTCGGCTTCTTCGCGGTGCGCCCGCACCGCCGGCTGCAGCTGGCGGCGGAGCTGTGGGCGGAGAACCTGACTTTCAGCCACGTCGACGGCTGGGCCGGCATCGGCTTCCTGCCCGCCGAGGACGTCGATGGTGGGCCTGCTTTCCACAACAACCACTGTAAGTTGGGGGGGGGAAGGAGGAGGAGGAGGAGGAGGAGGAGGAGGAGGAGGAGGAGGAGGAGGAGGAGGAGGAGGAGGAGGAGGAGGAGGACCCCCTCCCCCTCCAACTTCTGGTGGTGGTAGTGGAAGACAGGGCCATCAGTCGAGCACCCGCAGAAGCGGCGCAAGAGCAAACTTTTGAAGCTTCGCGCGGAGCTCTTGGATCAGCGCTGCGGCCGCCCCCCCGCGCGCGCCGGGGGGCCCAGGCGCCCATGCAGGAGAACCGCGCGGAGCTGCGACAGCTCTTGGCTCCCGGTGCCTCCTCTTCCTCCGCCGGCGAGGACGAGCAGGGCTGGCGCTACAGTCAACCCGCATAGTGAGGACGAGCATTTTCCCAAGGTTACCCTTGCATCCTGGATACCAAGGTTACCCTTGCATCCTGGATACCAAGGTTCCCAAGGATACCCTTGCATAAGCACGGTTCCCAAGGTTACCCGCTTTCGCTGGCCGCTCCCCGCCCGCAAAGTGTCGACGTGGCCTTCAAGGCCCTTACATCCTTACCGCGCGTCCTTACTGTACGGGTTGACTGTAGACGCTGTTTTGCTGGACTTCGGCCGTGCTCTGTTTTTCGTCGCGGCGGGTTAGGCACGGGACCACGGGTGGAGCAGAGCGAACAGCAGAACGAACGCACAACGAAACGCAGCGTTTAGGCCCAGCCCCGGAGGACAAGTTCGTGGGCGCCGAGTGCGGCCAGGGCTACCTCCACACCCTCTTCTACAAGCAGGCGGCCCCCTCGGTGAGCCGCGCGCTGGCTGCCGCGGGCATCGCGGGCGAGGGCGGGGAGGGCGCGGTCGCCGCGGCGCAGCTGGACCGGTGCGTCTGGAACTACCAGCACGGGCCCGACTGCCCGCCCAGGTTCCGAGGAGGAGGAGGTGCCCATGCCTCTGCCCCCCCCCTCGTTTCCCCTCTGTTGGGCCTCCTGGGCCTCCGTCGTCGCCACCGCTGGATTCGCCTCGAAATCCTGGTCCGAGCGCACCCCAGGAGAGGTCCGGGGAGTTGCGGTATCGGTTCCCTCTGGTGTCCCCACAGGTTCAACTGCTCGCGCGTGGTCGCCCACCACAAGCCTCGGGTGCTGCCAGAGGCGTCCCCAGCCCGGCCAGGAGATCCCGGCTCCCCACAGGAGATTTTGACGAGGCCGTCCTGGATTTTGACGGTCTAGTTTTCGCGGGATCTTTGCAGCGGGAGTTCGCGCTAATTTTCAGATCGGGCCATCGTCAAGTTCATTGATGGCCCCGTCAGGCCAACCCGAGCCCCCCGAGCCCGAGTCTTGCGTCTGCCCGAACTATTTCAGGAGGGGAAAAGCACACAGACACACTTCATCGTCGATTCCCCAGAAAATATGGGAAAGTATGGGAAGTGGGGGGGAAGATACACACCAAGGAAAGATGGGAAAATATGGGAAATCGTGTCATTTGTGTATTTATTTGTGTGTCCCAGGGCCCCCTCAATATTGTAATTCGTCCGCAACGTCGGATCTCCGGGAGGCGGCCCCAGGATTCCCGGGGAGGCCCAGGTGGCCTTCGGAGCACCCCTCACGAGGCCCAGAGGGCCCCAGTGTTAAGTCTGGCACGTCCCTCTACAGGAGGAATATTCAAAAATAGTCAAAAGATAGTCTGGGGACGATTTTTGGATCATTTTGGACGTTTTGGGGCATTTTTATGGTATTTTGTTATGTTTTCGCCCCGAATCCCCCTGTAGGGGGACCGGCCCGACCTGACCCCAGGGGGGTCCAGAATGGCACGAGAAGCTGGGGGCACCTCGGGCCAGGACCCCTGAGATCCGACGTGACGAAGAATCTGAACCATCGTAGAACAACTCGACCAAAGAGCCCTGGTCCTGCACACCACCGTTCTGCGGCAGTTCCTCGAGCTGGATCGCTCCGCGAGAACCCCAGGGTTCGAAACAGGGCAGAATCGCCCTGTGTGAAAAACAGCGACGCCAGGATCTCAGGGTCGGCGCAGCTGCTGGGAAGTATTCCAAGGCTCGACAAACTCCTCCGCCGCCGCCGCCGCCTCCCCCCTCCTCCTCCTCCTCCTCCTCCTCCTCCTCCTCCTCCTCCTCCTCCTCCTCCTCCTCCTCCTCCTCCCCTGCTCCTTCCCCTCGCCTCGAGTCTATCGGCCTCCCTGCGGTCAGTGGGGCCGTTGAGGACTAAGACAGAGAAGGCGCAGGTGAACGCGAGGCCCTCGCCCATCCTGTAACCGCGGGAAGAAAACTCCAGAAGGGGAAACACACACGGCCACCATAATTAATCGTCGATTCCCCCGAAATACGGACAGCACGGGAAGTGGGGGGGGAAGACGAGCATCCAGAACACATGGAAACAGATGGGGAGGAACCCTGGGATCTGTGCCTCCTTACTTGTGTGTGTCCCCCCCCTGGGCCCCTTCCAACAGAATTACCCTCCGCCTCGTCGGGGCCCCCCTCTGGCCGCACCCGACGAGCCCAACTCCCCGCCGGAGGGCCGGGACTGCGGCAAGAGCTGGTTCCCTGCGCCGGAGGCCCGGGCGCCCCGAGCGCCGCGCCACGTGCCCGACCCGGCGCCCCGCCGGCCCTGCGAGGTGAAGCTGGTGGAGGTGCAAAGGGCAACGGTGGGGTGTGGTAGTCAGGAGCGGAAAAAGGACGTACATGTACATGAATCCACATTGCGCAAATGCTCGTATAACGCGGCCGGTCTCACGGATCGAGGGGCCGTGTTCATGTACATAGCTGGGCGCGTACGTCCTTTGTGGGCTCCCTAGGTAGGCTCAGGGGGCCACATGCGAACCCTACCCCTGCCCCCCACGATTTCTGAGGGGGAGGGCGGGGTTCACTTCGCTCGAGAGCTCCCGAAGGAAGTGAGCCCCACCCTCCCCCTCAGAAATCGTGGGGGGTAGGGGTAGGGTTCGCATGTGGCCCCCGAGATAGGCTCAGGGGGTTGTTCGAGGTTCGAGGTGTTCGGAGGCGTCCGCCGGTTCCCGGCGGTGTCCCTCGGGGTGCTCTCCAGCAGTGGCGCCTCGCCGAGGGCGTCCCGGGGGCGCCAGAGTCATCCCGATTCTCGATCGGACGCCCTTAGACCGGAGTTATGGCCCGAAAGAAGACGGGGCAATGCATCGACCCCCAGTCGCCCACTGATCGCCGACAGGGGTCTGATTGCCCCACCCCTCCGAGCAACGTGCGGATTCGCCATCGGGGGCCTATCGCCGATCTCTCGGCGACGTATCGCCGACTCCAGGCCGAAGCTTCCCCCCTTAGCCAGTCCCCCCCCCCTTTGTTGCTCCTCACAGGTGGGCACCAGCTGCGACTGCTTCTCTCGAAGAAGTCACAGCTGCATGAATGTGCGGTCAACGTCCATAGTAAGGATGCGCTGGTTCATCCAGGCTGCCCTTGCATCCCTGCCTCTTCGGCCCATCCTGAGCGACTGTTGGCGTCCAAGGAGCTCTAACATGGTATCCTTATCTTGCATTCTTATTATCGCTTTTGACTGTCAAACTTTCGGGGGTCCGCTCGGATCTCTCGGATAGGCGCGCTCCTCGCGCCAGGGGGGGGGGCCAGCGCCGATCCAAGAAAAATCCCCGCGGAGCCCTGAAAGTTTCACTTTATGCCGTTGTTGCTTCTTCGCTTCTCGAGCACCGCCCACGTCAAGGCTCGGAGGGGGAAAGTCACCATCCACCAAGCCACCCCAATTCATCCCGAGGCCCTCAATTTGCACTCCATTTCCAGTGGGGGTGGGGTCGGGGAACGTCGACAAAAACACATATGGAGCCCACGTCCACCCCCCAACCCGAAATTCGGATCTTCGGGTTGGGTTGGGGTGGTCTGGTTGGCAGTCAGAAAGGTACCGATGCCGCGGACCTTGCCTCATTTTCGCCACGAGGACCGCCTGGTAGGTCCTCGTCGCCCCTGCTGCATCCGCCTCGAGATCCTGGTCATGACTCGCCCTGGGAGAGATCCCGGGAGAAGCGACCAGCATGGTGGTCCAAAGGTGAGGCCCTGAGGGATTGGGCCCTCGGCGATCCTTGTTTGAGTTTACATCGCTTGAGGCTGTCTTGGAGACCATTCTCTTATCCTCTGGCGGCACTGGGCGTGACCGGGGGGGAGGGGAGAGGGGGGGAGGGGTCTGGCCAGGTCACGATGCCGGCGCCATCTGATCTGGGAATGGCTAAGGACAGCTAGTTTCCAGACTGCGTCGACGCACATCGTGACGTTCTGAGGAGTGGTGTATGGGGTTCTTATCGAAGGGCTGTGGGACTCGCAACTTTACAGTCAACTTCGCTACCAGCGCTAGTTTATGGTTATGTTTGATGCATGGTTCGCTCTTGCCATGAGGTGTAGTAAGATGCGAGAAAGGAGTGACTCACGCCGACGCCAACCAGTTGTCATTTTACATGTAATAATTACTCCTCCTGCACCGCATCCTCGTCATTATCATTTTTCGCCATCGTCGCAACATTTTTTCGGAGGAGAGGAGGAGAAACTTATATGGGATATCTGTATGAATGAGCAGGACAAGGAGGAGAACGAGGAGGATCAGGAGGAAGAGGAGGATGAGGAGGAAGTGAAGGAGGAGAAGGATGAGGAGAAGTGGAGGAGAGGGAGGTGACTCCTCCTCCACGCGAATCCTCGTCAATCGTCCTCCTCTCTTATTATCAGCACACATACCCCTCGTCGTGGGAGGAATTGAAGGAAGGGCGAATGAGACAGAGAGAAAAGTAATGTGTGCGGGTGACGTTAAAGGATGATGGTAAGGACGGTGATGAAGATGAGGATAGGGGGTGAGAAGGAGGAATCACGAAGATCGGGAATTTGAGCAAGTGGCTCATGTGCCAGAAGAGGGATCCGAAGTGACGTCATTCTCATCCTCCCCAATCTCCGACATCTCTCCTCCTCTTTGGGTCAAGGAAGGGTGCGTGTGCGATAGTAATAGGATGATCACCAGTCGGAGGGAGGAGGTGGGCGACCCAATTGAGGATGATGCTGCTGCTGATGATGAGGATGATGATGATGATGATGATGATGCTGATGCTGATGCTGCTGCTGATGCCGATGGTGATGATGATGCCCAAGCTGATGCTGATGCTGACGATTCTGAGTATGATCATGCTGCTGGTGATGACGATGATGATGATGCTGACGATGATGATGCTGAAACTGCTGCTGCTGATGATGATGATGATGCTGATGATGATTATGTCGCTGATGTTGATGACGCTGATGCTTATGCTGATCCTGATGCTGATGATGATGTCGATGCTGCTGCTGCTGATTATGTTGTGTTTTACATTGCTGTTTGTTGTTGTCTTTCCTGGCGTCCGAGACCAAACTCATTGGAAACCACAGTGCTTTGGAGCTTCGATTGTTGAACTCGTTTTGTTCTACAGCGTTGTAGATCTCTGATTGCTGAATATGTCAGATCGCCATCGTTGTTTCCGCCTCCGATGCCAGCATGATTTGATTGTATTGTTAGTTGTTGGTTTCCTCTTGTATGCATTTGAACATGGAGCTCGTTTGTAAGACTGCCGCAAAAGGAAGCAACTTTTCAAGCCCTCACACATAATCCTTGTGGTACGGCCGCCTCGAACGACAATCATTTTACAAGGCCGCCACAACAGAGGACATCCTTACCTGAGGCAGCCGCACAAGAGTATCATTTTTGTACAGCCGCCAGAATGATAATCTTTTTGCCAGGTCGCCGCAAAAAGAACTCCTTTCATACGGCCGTCACAAACAGGACATCCTTTGGGAAGGCAGCTACAAAGAGACTGCTTCGGTAAGGCCGCCGCAGAAGCAATCTCTCTGGAAGCCCGCCGCACAGGGACGTTCGTGTATAAGACCGCGACCTTTCCTGGAACATGGCTGTGCACCTGCATTCTCTTTAGCTGGTTAACACGAGACATGCATGTTCCCTGGCATTCCGATAAGACCCTTGCGGGGTGGGGTGGGGTGGCCTGGGGCTGTGGGCCACATCTCACTGGGCCCCGCCTTAGGAGGAGGAGGAGGAGGCGGAGGAGGAGGAAGAGGAGGAGGAGGAGGAGGTGGAGGAGGAGGAGGAAGAGGTGGAGGACGCCGGTTCTCGAGCGCCGCCCACGCCAAGGCAGTGTCCGTGCGGGGCCACGTGAGGAGCTGCGAGCCCGCGGCGCAGAGCCCTGGCGGCGACTCTTTCTGCGTCGCCTGGGCGGGCAGCACGGTGACGGTCACGCGGGAGGACGAGGCGCACTCCGCGGGGGGGCACCTGCCCTCTGCGACCATGGTTGCCTCAACCCCAGGTCGGCGGTTCAGACACTTGATCTGTGGGGATGGGGTTCGCACGTGGTTGCCTGAGCACGCCGCCGTGCACGTTTTTTTAAAATGTGTTTTCTTGTTTTGTGTTTTTTTGTGCGTGTGTGTGTGTGTGTGTGTGTGTGTTTGGCTTGTTTTTGTATTTTTGTTTCCCCCGCCCCACACTGGCAGGTTGTCATCGATCTCGGCCCTCCGGCGGCCGTCTTCGGGCCTCGGGGCGGTCGGCAACAGATCTGGGACGGGAAGCTGCTCCGGGGCAGGCGGGCGGGCCCGCCCTGGGGCCGCGGCCGGGAAGCCTCGCGTCGGCGGACGTCTGGGCACCGCTGTGGGTGGCCAGGGCCAGCCTGGGCCCTAAGCGGGTGGTGTGCAGCAGAGGAAGAGGCACCTACGCCGCTACCCTCCGCCCGTTTCGGCGTCAGGTACCTTTTGGGCTCCACTCGAAGGGGGTGGTGCGTGCGCAGACCCTCATCCAAGGCCGAGGGCCAGGAGGGCGTACCTGCCCCACGCCGTGGGCCAGATGGCCCCTAGGGCCCGGGGCGCGGCGGCGGTGTGCAGAGGTGCCCCCCCCCCTCCGCTGCACACGACACGAGGAGGCGTGCTTGTGCGAGCCCGTCCTCCTTCTCCTCCTTCTCCTCCTCCTCATCCTCTTCCTCTCCCTCCTCCGCTTCCTCCCCCTTCACCTCCTCCTCCTCCTCCCCCCCCTCCTCCTCCTCCTCCTCCTCCTCCTCCTCCTCCTCCTCCTCCTCCTCCCTCCTCCTCCTCCTCCTCCTCCTCCCTCCCTCTCTCCTCCTCCCCCTCCCCCTCCTCCTCCCCTCCTCCTCCTCCTCCTCCTCCCTCCTCCCTCCTCCTCCTCCTCCTCTCCTCCTTCCTCCCCCTCCTCCTCCTCCTCCTCCTCCTCCTCCTCCACCTCCTCCTCCTCCTCCTCCTCCTCCTCCTCCTCCTCCTCCTCCTCCTACGCCGCCTCCCCCACCGAGCAGGGCGCCGCCGTACTCACCACAGCACTGCGGACTGTGACAGAGTCCATCGGTACGAAGAAGCCGACCAAAGCCGCCCAAGTCCAAGGCGGTGCGCTTGGCAGAGGCAGCGAAGTCGCCCGACTCCGAGACCCGCACCTACAACTGGGCGTTCGAGCTGCAGGTGCTGGCCGAGGCGAAGGCGGCCAAGGCCCGCGATAAGTTGCAGGAGTGCGCGGACGCGGTCGT